TGGCATATTAACCTACAGAAAACATTGTCAAATACAAAATTATGTTTAACTTTCTTTGGGTTATATTTATATAAATGTGTTATTAGGATGTATTCCAAATTTATATGGTTCCTATAATTCTAATATGTCTTCGTATATGTTATCAGTAATAATTATGTTTATTATGTTAAATTCTTATGTGCCACAGAAATGACCAGATTTCTTTGTCGACTGTGTCTTTAACAATGGCCTCGTTGGACACAGTGGCTCAGGCCTGTAATGTCCTCACTGGGCACGGTGGCTCGTGCCTGTAATACTAGAACTTTAGGGAGGCTAAGATGGGAGGATTGCTTCAGCTCAGCTATTTGAAATCAGCGTGAGCAAGATAGTGAGACCTTATCTCTACAAAAAAATGAAAAAATTAGCTGTATGTGGTAGCACTTGCCTGTGGTCCCAGCTCCTCTGGAGGCTGAAGAAAGAGGATTGCTTGATTCCAGGAAGGTGAGGCTACAGTGAGCCATAATGGTGACACTGTGCTCCAGCCTGGGTGGCTTGAGACCCTGTCTCAAAAAAATCAAAGTAAAATTAATAAAACAGTGGCTGTCCTGAGATAATTGTCATCCACAGATTACTGTGGTTCTTTTTCTGTAAACTATTCAAAAGGTGTTTGCTCTTTGAAATGTTCTCTTGAATACAGGTTTCTCATAACTAAAGACTGAGGCATTGAAATAGGAAAAAAACAAAACAAACTCCTAGGACTCTCACAGATAGCTGTATGTTTATGAGGACTGCTGGCTCAAGGTCAGACAAAGTTAACTTCATGGACTGAACTAATAGAAGACCAAAATAATCCTTTTATGACTTGTTGCTTGAAAAGTTGCTGAGACTTTTTCTCATTTTTCAGAGTCAAGACAACATTTTTCTTTTCAGCTATTTACAGCTTCTCATGATTGACTAAAGTATATTCCTGTGAGCAAAACTTGAAAGACAGTTCATATTCTCCACATGATTTCTCCAAAATTTGAAAATTACTTATGAGGATTCCATACTATGGAGATATAGTTATTTACCTAAGTACAATAAGAATCTGATTTCTTTTGTAACAGAACACAACTGGAGGCACAGATTATTTTACCAAAGATATGGTTATTTTACCAGTGGAATGGCCTACCTTCAAATACAAACAGACAGGCTTGAGGAATTGAAGTTGACCAACAGAGATGATAAAAGCCCCTTGAAGAAACTGGCCTCATAACTATCTACACAGGCCTTGCACAGGGTTCCTGACCTGTGGTAAGTAAAACCTGTCACATTCTGACAGGCCTATGATTCCCAAATTATCTTGGGAGCTGAAGAAGAGAGAAATTCAACCAATGTGTACGAGTATTTGCAGGCACAGATATATCCCTTCAAGGCTTTAAAAAAAGTCCAATCTGAGGTTCCTTAGGGAACAAAGTTGCAGTAAACCCAGTTTAGAAAGCACTAATATGGGAAATAATTATTCTTGCTGAACTTTACACAAATAATCAGGCTAACTATAATAATACTAAAACTTATTTTGCAAAGAAATGTATCCTACTATGGTACGTCTAAAATAAAATGAAAACTAGGGAGCAAACATTATATTTCAGAAAAATACTATAGCACACTTGTTGTTAGATTCTAGTCTTGTCCATTGTTTTTGAGCTTTTTATTATTTTCTGCACTTTGGACTGAATTCAGAAATCTCTCAGAGCTAAAGTCCTCAAACTAATACATACACATTTTTTCCCACTTTTGTGACCTGGACTCAATGAAATGGCTACGACCTTCTTCCGGATGCCCTGCATGCTGAAGCTTATCCCTGGAGATACAGATGAAAAATACGTGAGATTGTCATCGCTATCCTCCTTTGGAACTTAAACATGCTTTGAATCTAACATCTGGATACATTGTGCCCAATATCAACCTTTGTTATTATTTTCTATTTCCATACAAATGCCTGTTATTAAAAATATGTTTTGCCTTAATCACATAAGGGAGCCTACTTCATTTGCAGTGACACCTCCTGGAATGAAACACAGCTAGGATATATTCGGAAAACTAGGAAACTAACTAAAAAGATATGAGATGGTATATTTAAATTTGCTCTTTCCTGTTTATCCCAATTTGTCTTTCTAACAACCTCTGACCCAAATCTCTCTTGACTATTGACCCCATGTCTGATTGGTTCTTAGGGCTAATCACTCTAATCCTTCAGGGATTTTGACGAATTACATAAGGACTTCTGAAGCTAGGACTTCCACTCCTTATATTAGGACCCATTATCCTATAGTTTGCTGTTCACTTAAGTGCTGTACTAAAACTGTGGATGACAGTACTAACATCATGGTCATGCAAGCCTAGGAACCCCAACCAGGCATCTGCGAATACATACAGGCAGCTACAAAGCAGTTTCAATCCATTTACTCTGGGGCCAAACCCTACCTCAAGTATACCCCTTGTCAGCAGGAAGAATGGTCTTTGGCCTTTTCCCAACTCTGTACCTCACACCTTAAGAATAAGATGCAATGAAACTCAGAAGGGGAAATTGAAATCTCGTTTGCAAAAACAGTAATTGAGAAAATTACGACAGGGAGAGAGATACGACCTAAGTGACTTCATCTTGCATTCAACCTCCAAGCAGCCCTTGTTTATTCCTGGGCAAAAACAAAACCCACTTTGGAAGAAATTTACTTTGTAGCTTAATTTTGAAACAAAGATAATAACAGCTCCTCCCTAAAACAAAACCACTCATTGTTTGGGGACCACAATCACCTTTGTAAAACTAACAAATTAACCACCGTATGAGAAAGCATGGCTCCAGTCATACAATCAGAGGCCACAAGATTAATTAACTCCCCAATGGCTCCTATACATAACATTACTATTGTAAAACCTAAGGTTGGTGTTTGAGGTATTTCTCATAACTTGCATTCTGACAGATCAGCGGGTGCCACCCAAACCAGTAAACTGGCTCATCTGGATATGTGGCCCCACCCAGGAGCTGAGTCAGCAAAGAAGATGGCTTTGACTTCCTAAGAGTTCAACCCTGACCCAACCAATCAGCATGTCCCTTTCTCTAACCCTCTGCCCACAAAACTATCTATAAAAACTCTAGCCTCTGAGTATTTGGAGAAGCAGTTTTGAGTAATATGAAAACTCTGCTCTCTCTTTTAGCTGGCTCTACATGTATAAAATTTTCTCTATAGTAATTCCTTTATCTTGGTAAAGTGGCTCTATCTGGGCAGCAGCCAACATGAACCCAGTGGGCATTAACAACCCAACTGCTGAGTTTTGTCTCAAGAAAACTTGTTTTGATTTCATGGGCTGACAGAGGAGACATTAGATTTAGAACTTTCTGTTGGTGCTGGAACAATTTAAAGCCTTGGAAGTATAGGAATGAAATAAAACTTTTGTGACAGGTGTGATTTTTAGAGAGTCAGAAGTGCAGTGCTAGGGCTGGAATATTGCTTCCTTTCCAAATTTATGCTGAAATTTCATCCCTAACATGGCAGTGTTGAATTGTGAGGCCTTTAAAAGGTGATTGGATCATGAAGAGTTTGACCCCATCAGTGAATTAATCCCTTCATGGATCAATAAATTAATATTTAAAGATTAATAGTCTATTATGAGAGAAGAGTGGCTTATAAGAAGGGAGACATGATCTTGCATGTCAGCAAGCGCTACTCCATTGCCATATGATACCCTGTAGACTTCAGAACTCTTCAGAGAGTCCCAACCAGCAACAGGATCTCGCCACATACAACCTGTCACCCTTGGACTTTTCAGTCTCCATAACTGTATGAAATACATGTGTTTTCTTTATCAACTACCCAGTTTCGGGTATTCTGTTTCAGTAACAGAAAATGGGACTAAAACAAAGTCTTAGTATTACTATTCCCTGTTATTAAGTTTAATGGATTATTACAACTATTCCAGACAAGAATACAACTGTTCCAGATGTTTCAGGAATGAAGGTTTGCATCACCCTGCCAGGTAGAGACCCAGGACCAGCAAGGTGGCTTGCTGAAGACAAAGAGAATACACAATGAGTAGCAGTAGAAGGGAGTTATAAATACCAGACAGGGCCAGGCACAGTGGCTCACGCCTGTAATCGCAGCACTTTAGGAGGCCGAGGCGGATGGATCACATGGTCAAGAGATTGAGACATCCTGGCTAACACGGTGAAATCCCATCTCTACTAAAAATACAAAAATTAGCTGGGTGTGATGGCAGATGCCTGTGGTCCCAGCTACTCAGCAGGCTTAGGCAGAAGAATGGTGTGAACCAGGGAGGCGGAGTTTGCAGTGAGCCAAGATCACGTCACTGCATTCCAGTCTGGGAGACAGAGTGAGATTCTGTGTCAAAAAATAAAAAATAAAAAATAAAATCAAATAAATACATACATACATACCAGACAGGACCAGGTGACCAGTTACAGAAACAAGGATTAAAATTGTCACTAGTATTTCCTACCTACTTTGTTGAGAATACATTTGCATCCATGTTTTCTTAATCCAGTCTGTCACTGATGGACATTTGGGTTGATTCCAAGTCTTTGCTATTGTGAATAGTGCCACAATAAACATACGTCTGCATGTGTCTTTATAGCAGCATGATTTATAATCCTTTGGGTATATACCCAGTAATGGGATGGCTGGGTCATATGGTACATCTAGTTCTAGATCCTTGAGGAATTGCCATACTGAATCATCATTCTTAGCAAACTATCACAAGAACAGAAAACCAAACACCGCATGTTCTCACTCATAGGTGGGAACTGAACAATGAGATCACTTGGACTCAGGAAGGGGAAAATCACACACCGGGGCCTATCATGGGGAGGGGGGATGGGGGAGGGGGGAGGGATTGCATTGGGAGTCATACCTGATGTAAATGACGAGTTGATGGGTGCTGATGAGTTGATGGGTGCAGCTCAGCAACATGGCACAAGTATACATATGTAACAAACCTGCACGTTATGCACATGTACCCTAGAACTTAAAGTATTATAATAATAAAAAAAAGAAAGAAAAAAAGAAAAAAAATATGGATTCAGACATATGCATAATACAAGCATAAAAACACAGAAAAAAAAAGAATACATTTGCATGTTATATATCAATATACTAGGCAAATAACATTGTTTTTATTTCTCTCTTATTCTTTTATTACAAAACACAAAATGTGTTAACTTGATACTACAGTTAAGTGTTAGGAATTTCACATACTTGTATTGAAGTTATGGGGTATCAGGAGAAGAGTAAACATCACCCACAAACTTCCACTGCTCTTAAGACAAATAGTATAGTGTGTTTCGGTTGCACACAGGATGGTTGCATCATGTTAGGTAGAACTATTGCCTTGTTATTGTCTGTATCTAAAGATTAGTTATGGCTTAAGGTGATACATATAGGTGCCAACTAGAAAGGTGCTGGACTTGTCATGGTTAATTTAAGGTGCTGACTGGATTAAAGAATACCTAGAGAATTGGTAAAGCATTACTTCTGGGTGTGTCCGCCAGGGTGTTTCCAGAGGAGGTTGGTATGAGTCAGGGAATTTAGTGGGAAAACCCACCCTCAATGAGGAAAGGCAGCATACAATCTCCTTGGGGACCAAATAAAACCAAAAACGAAAAAAAATTTAAAAAGTTTTCCGGTATCTCTCCAGGAGAAAGTATACTCCTTTTCCTGCTCTTGGAAAATAAAACTCCATAATCTATGACCTTGAAACTCCAGAACTTATACCAGTAAATGCCCTGGATTCTCAGGCCATTGGTCCCAAACTGAGAATTACACCAAGAGCTTCCCTGGTTCTGAAGATTTCAGCTTTAGACTGAGCCATCACGCTACAGCATCCAAGGTCCTTAAACTCGCAGATGGCTGTCTCGGGAATTCTCCGACTCTACAATGTTACACGAGTAAATCCCAAAACAAAATGCCATTCATCTAACTATTGTCTATCTATCAACTCTCCAACTACGTATCTGTCTACCTACCTATCTACCTCCCTGTAGTTCTGTCTCGCTGGAAAAAAAAAAACTGACAAATACACCCATAAAGACTTCAGACAAATGGGGCAATAGCATGTCTTTCTCTAGTTCCTCCTCCACCACCCCTGCTGCTTATGAGTGTGTGGCCTGGAGAGCTCTTCTCTTTTCACTGGCACTTCAAGGAATGCTGGCCTCTTCTTACTGGGATAGGTTAGTAATACATTACTAACGCCATTATACACATTGTGTTGAGTTGCCTCCTCTGTATTTCACTTGACGAACACACATGGACCTCACTTTTCTCCCACTCAGCACTCTCCTAAAGAGTGGTTACCTTGGTAGAAATAAACTAGACAGAGGTCAGACGGGAGCCACAGGGTGTCTTACAGTATAAACAAGTACTCTCTGAGAAGGATACCTGGATATAAGCTGGACAGTTCGGCTTTAGGCCATCCATCAGGATAAGTAAGCATCCCATGAAAGGCACAGCCAGTACCAAACGCTGAGTCGTACTGGGCAAGGCTATAGGTTATAGCCACCGTCCAGAGAGGCCTTAACAGCAAACAGAAGTAAAAATAAAACACATCCTATGTAATAATTTTACAAACTATAGCTCCAGGAATCCTTGAGAGGGAAAGTGAAAATGGCAAAGCATTATTTGAAAGTTTGCGCTGGAGTCGTATTTCTTCAAAGATAAAGAAAAATCAGGCCTGGTGCAGTGGCTCATCACGCCTGTAATCCCAGCAGTTTGGGAGGCCGAGGCGGGTGGACCACGAGGTCAGGAGATTGAGACCATCCTGGCTAACACGGTGAAACCCCGTTTCTACCAAAACCAAAAAAATTAGCCGGGCATGGTGGCAGGCACCTGTAGTCCCAGCTAATCAGGAGGCTGAGGCAGGAGAATGGCGGGAGACTGAGGCAGGAGAATGGCGTGAACCTGGGAGGTGGAGCTTGGAGTGAGCTGAGATCGCGCCACTGCACTCTAGCCTGGGTGACAGAGTGAGACTCCAACTCAAAAAACAAAAACAAAACAAAAAAAACTCTATCTAGAGGATCTGAGCCCTAATAATAGAAATACAAACAATGATCTCTGTAACTTATTTATGTATTTATTAAATTTATTTATTTAACGGCGTTTCACTATGTTGCCCAGGCTGGAGTGCATGGTTATTCACTGGCACAATCATAGCACACTGCACAGCCTCAGACTCCTGGTATCACATGATCATCCTACCAACCCTCCCTAGCAGCTGGGACTGATTACAGGGGTGTGCCACCACTCTTGCACAGAAACGATTTTTAAATCAAGAAAGTTGCATTTCTTTTTCTTCTTTCCCATAGTCATTCTAATCATGTGAAGAATGATCACACAAATCATTTTACGATTAGTAACTGAAAATGTAAATGCATTATAGTTTCCATACAATCTTTTATGCTGTCCACTTGTTACTTGGATCAACTTGAGTTTTGGATACTTGAGAAGAAGAATGGGCTTTAGTGTTCCCAAAGAATAGAGTGAGTAAAATAGAAACTCATCTTACTTATATTTTATAATGTTATTGCATTTGTACCATGAGTTTTAGGTTCCATGAAGGCTTAATTAAGTTAACAGGTAAAGCTGATCTCAAATATATGAGCCATGTCTACACTTCCATTTATTTTGAAATAATTTTAGATTTATAGAGAGTTGTTAAAATCTTACAAAAATTGGATATACCCTTCAATTTCCTGCAACAGTAATATCATACACATAACCATAGACTATCTGTGAAAACTCACAAACTGACAAAGGCACAAATCTATTAACTAAAGTACTGACTGTCTTCATATTTTACCAGGTTTTCCACTAATGCCATTTTTCCTTTTTTGGATCTAATCAAGGATAACATACTATGTTTACCATCAAGTGTATTATTGTTTATTGCAGCATAGCCAATTACCACATAGCTTAGTGGCTCAAAAGCACACACAAATTACTCACAGTGTCTCTGGGTCAGGAATCTAGATGTAGATGATTGACAAAGCTGAGTTCTCACCTGAAGGATCAGCTGGGGAGGAATCATCTTCGAAGTTCATGTGATTGACCAGGTTGAGAAGATTACACTGATGAATTATTCCAAACCTTTAAAATATCAACAGCAATTTTTCAGTAACTGTTCTCCAAAAAAATAAAATCACAGAGAAGAGATCAGTGTGCAGTGCATCTTATGAGGCAGTTTCCTCTGAGGTTACAACCAGACAAACACAATCCAAAAAACGAAAACTATAAACTAATATGCTTTATGGATACCTAGGCAATAATTCTCAAGGAAATAGTTTCAACGCAAATCAAGATCGTAAAACAGAATTAAACACTAATTTATTTACTTATTAATTAATTTACTGAGAATCGTAAGTTTGGTAAAACATATAAAAAGAATTAGTGAAATAACTATATTAATATAATGACAAAATTTTCATTATCACATCTAAAAATATGGAATAAGCACTTTCCAATTCAAAAACCCACTCACAGTAAAAACATTAAATTTTGCATAAAGGGAATGTTCTTACCTAAAACAGGCACCTATGAAAAATTCACATGACAACACATGGTATCAAGTAGATCTCAGTAATATTCCCAAACTTATAAACACAAAAGATTACCTATTCCCACTAATTCAATTAAACATTATGCTTGAGGACATAATTTATAAAAGTAGGATAGAAAGATAAATATAAGACTTTCAAATTGAAAGGGAAGAAGTCAAACAATCTATTGGCCAATGACATAACCTAATGTATAGAAAATCCTAAAATATCCACTAAAACAATGCTGAAACAAAAACAAAATTCAGTATGCATGATCAATGTAATAAATTGCATTCTTATACAACACAAACTAATCAAATAATGAAACTCAAAATAATTTCATTTAACACGGCATCAAAAAGGAAAATAACATAATAACTGCAAGATATATATACTGAAAATTACAAATAATATTGAAGTCTTAAAGAAATCCTAAATAAATGAATAGAAGAATTAGTGTAATATGCCATATAAACTAGATTTTCATTGATCAGAAAGCTATTAAGTATTAACCAAGATGCTTATACTTTCTAAATGCATCTTCAGATTTAAAACAAGCCCTACTAAAATTCTAACTATTTTTTTTTCATTTTTAGCAGTTCTTGGACCACTGATTCTAAAACACACAGAAAAATGCAACTGATCCAGAACAGCCTAAAGAATGTTAAATATTTTTTACAGAAACTCAAATGATGTTTATAGAAAGTTTCCTACTTTCTATGTATGCGCTGGGTATAGTGATGTTTTTGCCAAAAGGTACAACATGAAAAGAGGAATAATATTAATTTTATGTGAAGAAAACTGAGCTAAACTGTCTCATCCATGTGATCAAATAACATTAACCATGATAAAGCAGCTGGGCACAGTGGCTCACACCTGTAATCCCAGCACTTTGGGAGCCTGAGGTGAGAGGATCGCTTGGGGCCAGGGCGTAGAGACCAGCCTGGGCAATTTCTTGAGATTCTGCCTCTATAAAAGTAAAAGTAAAATGAAATCACCCTGATGTGGTGGCACATGCCTGCAGTCCCATCTACTCAAGAGGCTGAGGTGGAGGATCATTCAAGCCCAAGAGTTCGAGGCTGCAGTGAGCTTTCTTCATGCCACTGCCCTCCAACCTGAGGAACAAAGTGAGACCCATCTCAAAAAAAAGAAAAAAAATGTGATAGAGCATGTTGATACTATGTAGTCCTGTCACAATATCATGAGAATAAAACCTTCCCTCTGGGGTTTTCCTCTGCTAAATCCACACCGGCCATCCAGTCATTAGGAAAACACCAGAGACATCCCAAAGGAGGGATTTCAATGACATCAGAAATAAGAAAAATCTGAGAAACTGGCACAAGATACCTAAATGTGATGTGGTGTCCTGGGCGGAATCCTGGAACAGAATATGGACGTTACATGAAAACAGAACATCTGATATATTGTGAATGTTGGTGAATGATAATGTATAATATTGGTTCACCAACTGCAACAAGTGTTTCAAATGAATGTAAGAATTTATAAAAGGGAAATTATGTGTTGAGTATATATAAACTCTCAGTATGTACTTCCAACTATTCTGTAAATCCAAAACTATTGTAAAAAAGAATTTAAAAAAACAAATAAATAGCCCGGGCGCTGTGGCTCATGCCTGTAATCCCAACACTTTGGGGGCTGAGGCAGGAGGATCACGAGGTCAAGATCATCCTGGCCAACATGGGGAATCCCGTCTCTACTAAAAATACAAACATTAGCCTGGCGTGGTGGCGGCGACTGTAGTCCCAGCTGCTCGGGAGGCTGAAGCAGGAGAATGGCTTGAACCCGGGCGGCGGAGCTTGCAGTGAGCCGAGATTGTGCCACTGCACTCCAGCTTGGCAACAGTGGGAGATTCCGTCTCAAAAAAAATAAACCCCAAAAACCAAAAAAACAAAACAAGCAAACCAAAAAAATAAATAAAACATATATACTTTAAAAATTATACCATTGAGCTTACTAAGCAGAACACTGTCAATCTCCTAGTGTCCCAGGTGCTCACTTCCCTATTCCTACCCTTTTTGTTACCCTGGTGAACAGCACAATTATTTTTAATTTTCCTTTTTCCATTTGCAAACTTTTCTTTCTTAGTTTTGGTCTCTAAATCTGTATTTGTAAATAATGTCCTGTTCGCTGTTTCTTGTCTTCACAAATAGACAATTACATGTCTCTATCTATATGGCTCAGTAAAATCCTGAGAAACATTCAGAGAAATCCAGATTCTGATACATTTTACAAATTATGTGACCTCTTTTCTCACAAAGGCCAAGATCAGCAAAGTAAGTGAGGACTGAGAACCTGTCTCAGATTAAGTAAGACCTGATGTTGGCAGGTGAACGCTCAGATGGTGCGCAATGATCCTCACAGCTTGGTGTACATAACCCAATATTCTAATCCTTTCCTTTTGACTTTGGGGAGAAACCGAGACTTGCTTTGATACATCAGAAGACTACAGCGTGATAGGATTTCACTTGAGTAATCATGTTACCTAAGATTATGATACCTGTCTTGCCGCAAGCTCTCTCCCATGGTGGCTTTGATGACACATTCTGCCATGGGAGAGAAGCCAACATAGGAAATAACTGAATGCAGCCTCTGGCCACAGACAGCAAAAAACTGAGGCTCCCGTTCCAGTATCCTGCCCTAGAGGTTGCAATGTATATTTACAACTAATCTAAGCTCCTTTCATATAAAATTATACTGCTTCAGAAGTAGTGTAACCATCTTATAATAGTTCTAACTATTTCTTCCTTTTTCCTGTATTTTTCTTTTGTCCCTCTTTTCCTGTCTTTCATTTTACTTATATGTGTGTATATATCTTATACTTACAAAAATATAATTAAATAAATTGCTTTTTTTTTTTTTTTTGAAACAGAGTCTTGCTCTGTCACCCAGGCTGGTGTGCAGTGGTGCGTTCTCAGCTCACTGGAACCTCTGCCTCCCTCATTCAAGCAATTTTCCTGCCTCAGACTCCCGAGTAGCTGGGATTACACATGCATGTCACAACACCCAGCTAAATTTTGTATTTTTTGTAGTAGAGATGGGGTTTCAACATGTTGGCAAGGCTGGTCTCGAATTCCCGACCTCAGGTGATCCACCCACCTGGGCCTCCCAAACTGCTGTGATTACACGCCTGAACCACCGCGACCAGCCTTGCTACTATTTTTTAGAAAGACACCTGTCTGCTATTGAATATAATTATTTTAAATAAGCTGTTATATGTAAGATCAATTAAGAATATGAAAATTAAAAGCTTTTCTTATCTTGAGTAACCAATAAAAAAGTATTTAAAAAGTCTGAGATGCTAAGAAAGAATATTGAATTATATGAAATGCTGAATAAAAACCAGAAAAAAAGGAAAATGACTGGAAGAAAAAATGGAAACAGGGGCAGCGCAAAAACGAGAAGATAGTAACAAACATGGTGAATATTCATCCAACTGTATCAATAATCACTTTCAAAAAGTGTCAAAACCTAATTCAGAACAATCATAATCAGAATATCAAGATATGTGTGAGTTAATTTAGGAATTAATTTCAATACTGCTTTCATTTGTATATGAATAAAATGTAAATTCAAAACTCTAGACGAACTTTTTCAGTAAGTGTAAATAAGTCTACTATGTGTATAAGAGTTTAGATAGAGATATTATTTCTTTGAGATCCGGCTTCAGTCTTTGATTCATTGACATGCTGTGGATGTCCCCAACAAGACTACTACAGACATTACATATTCACCAATCTGACCTTCCCTTTAGTGATACAAAGGCCAGCTCGCTTGTCCATTTTTCTCTGTGAGTCTGGTGCACGTTGTTCCTTACTCAGCTTCACACTGACAATTACATCCATATAGGCGGTGGTAGAGTAATGATGGAGTAACTACAGTAAGAATGAAACAAAATGTGGTAAAACTTATGGGGATTGGACATGGCTTATCACATTTAAAAATGGATGATTTATCTGGAAGGATGGATTGCAAGACAGTGCACATCAAACAATGAAGGACAGTGACATCTGAGAGAGGTGAAATAATGAGGGTTTACTGTTGCTTCAGGTTACCGCTTGGGGAGAGTTTCCAGGCTGTGGTGTGACACGGACTCTGGAAGACACTGGGAGTTGAGAATATGGAACTGACTGGAGAAAGAGGTGGCTGAATTTCATGAGGCGGGAGCACTCAGGCCAATAGCCATGCAGGTTGGACTGTGGTGCCATCATTACTCCACTCACACATGGTTCACAGGAGTACTGGAGCAGTACAGAAACAAAAAGCAAAGATACAAAGAAAAGTAATTTAAATGAATTCTTTAATAAAGAAAAATTTACCTTTATGCTTTCATCTCATTTCTGACTACACAAACACAAAGTTTTCCATGACTCAGTGATCCTGCATCAAGCCCAAGGATGAAGGTTATTTTTAGAAATAACGTAAATGGTGTGTTAGGTAGATATAGTGACCCTGTGTGGACAACAACTTGCCTTTCCTATGTTATCCTGCTAGTTGTGGCTGGTAAAATCACTACATTATGAAATAATTAAAGTACAGTTGTCTACTTATAAGAGAACATTTCTCACCAAAAGGAGAAGCCAATAAAGGTTTCTTCCTTCACTGATTTTCCTTAAAAGAATCTCTAGTTTCCTTTGCACTTTAAAACTATTTTTTTCTCTGTTCATCACTCCATGAATGCCACAAGCATAGCTTGCATGAAGTATAGGGTAGCACTTTAGACACAGTGAAATTATGTTAAATTTTAGCCCAGTATAGCATTTTCCTAAAAATTACCTGTGTATTTTTTCTCTTTCTCACTGTCCACCTCTTCCTTAGCTCCTTTGAAAGGCAAATTTAACCTTTTCCTTCCTTCGTTTCCACCAGTGAAACAGCCTGCAAGGACTGCCAGCTTATCTAAGTATGTTTCCTTAGAAATTCTAAGGACCAAATGTTGAACCAAAGCAGGCACCATCCAGAATTCTCCCTCAGAGGGAGACTGTCTCAAGACAATTGTTAATCCACATTCCGACTCTGTCCTCAATGACACTGGTCAGACTAACCAATGACCTCTTAGCTAAGTTTTACAGCAAGACACATAGACCCCGCACCTCCATGTTCCTTGCACGCCCTGCATAAGAAAGTTTCTCTTCTTAAAACCCTGCTTTCTTCCCAGAAAACTGAAGCGGCTCCTTTAGATACGAACCCGGTTCTTCTCCATTGCTAAACTGTGAAATAAAGTCACTTTCTTTTTACCACCCTCATGCTTGTTATTTGATACTGTCAGTGACAAGTGGCCAAACCTGTGTTTGGTAACAAATTTGGTGGCCCATATGGGGAGCATTATGTGCTCTGGGCAACCCAAGCCTGTGAGCCTGGTTTTGCTACCAAGGCGGAGGGTTACCTGTGAGTACCTGCAGCTGAAGGCTAGCAGACCCCACGGCAGGAACGTTAGGGAACTTCCAAGTGGCTGCTGAAAATCTTTCATTTCCTAGACCCTCCCTTTCACTTCCTCGCACAACTTCTGCAGCCATCGACACTTTGCTGGTACAAAGAATGTGACCTCTGAAGAAGCTGGCAACCCTTGCAACCAAGGGAGCTGGTCGGATTGCACCCAGCTTTCTCGTGTCTTCTGGGGTGTCGCTGGGGCTCTGCTGTTTCGTCTTGTTCACTAACGGGACTATCATTTGAGTGTTTGACGGATTAGAATTTGTGGCACTCCTGGGCATCGCTCCACTTGGTTTCAGATACCTGTGGAGCTGTTTTGAACAGAGGAAAGAAATTCAGGATTCTACCCAGCCCTTAACTGGGGTTTGTTTGGAAGCTCACCATTTGTTTGTAAGTGTGAGTGTATGACCTTTGAGTGTGGGCCCTTATCTCTTCCTATCTTTTTCACTTTCAACTTCATCTTCCTGATTATCTTAGAAGCCACCTACAGCCTTACTCATCTCAGTCAAAGGTACCCCTAGCTCTCGCCAGCTGTCAACAGTTTCCTTTGCCCATGACTTGTAGAGGTGGGAGGGATTTGTCTCACACTGTGCATGTCCAGGGTACTGGGGCTCTCCCTGATGGGATGTCAGCAAGAGTGGTGGGGGTACCAACCCTATACCATGCAGCAGCTAGAAGGTTCACAAACCTCCTTTTCTATCATTTTCTCTTTCCCTCCTTTTAAAGGAGCCAGATTTTAAACCTGGCTCCTCTGCAGAGTCCTGGCAGGAAATTCATATTCTCATTCTCTTCTGGATTTCAGCTGGCTACTTATTAAGACCTACTTTTGTGAACATTTTAAATAGAGAGGCAAACTATAGCAAGAAAACTTGAGAGCTCAAATGGTTAACTGCAGCTATTAAGTGAAGCAGAGTCATCAAAACCTCTTTCTTCCTCTGTTTTGTTTTCTGCCTGCTTCAGATTGGCTGTTACTAAGCTGTTGGTGCTGTGATAAGACACATTATTTACGGACTAATTAGAAAGTAAACAAACGAAACTTGTTTAAAACTGAAGGAAAAGAAAAAGGTAAAAGATGCTTTCTTAAAAACAAAACTGCCATAAAGATTGCTTTACTCAAATTTTGGTTTACAGCTTTCATAGATTATATATTGGAGAAAACACAATTTAGCCATGGAAACAGGTTCCAGTTTTGTCAGACAATAACGTGTATCCAGCTATTTTTTATAAAATACTGAGTGTGTACTGTTACTTTACGGTTGGAATCCCAAGGTAAAAGCTATGAGACCTTTCCTTGTGTGTGTATACCTGTTTAGACATGTTTGTATGTACATATGTAGACATGTTTGTGTGTATGTACATATGTAGATGTTTGTGTTCATGTACATATGTAGATGTTTGTGTGTATGTACATATGTAGACATGTTTGTATGTACATATGTAGACGTGTTTGTAACATATGTAGACATGTTTGTGTGTGTACATATATAGAGATGATTGTATGTACATATGTAGACATGTTTGTGTGCATGTACATATGTAGATGTTTGTGTGTATGTACATATATAGATGTGTATGTACATATGTAGACGTGTTTGTGTGTATGTACATATGTAGATGTGCACGTATATACATATGTAGATTTCTGTATATATGTACACTTGTAGACATGTTTGTATGTACATATGTAGACATATTTGTATGTACGTATGTAGATATGTGTGTATGTACATATGTAGATGTGTATGTACATATGTAGACATGTTTGTGTGTATGTACATATGTAGGTATGTGTGTTATGTCTAGCCTGCTACTAAATTGACTTACAAGTAAAAAAGCGCTCATAAATTAGGCAGCTTTTCAATTTCACATAAATTTAATAATCCTTGACAAATAAAACTGGTTTTAAGATTATTGGTGACATAATATTAGAAATATCTTCAAAATGATCAGTATATATTTATCTGAGTTTACTGAAAAAATGGTTTTGTATTTATCTCTGTCTATATATTAAGGAGTCAGGATATGACATAAAGGCTATAGGACCATAAACCCAGCCAAAAACAGAATAATTTTTGTTTGTGTGATTTTATAGATGAGTTAGACTAATTTAATATTACTAGTTCAATGAAAACAGTTAAATCTTCTGTGCTATTAACAAAATGCACATATATTGAACTTTAAGGTTCTTAATTAGGTAAAACACCTTATGTCCACAGACTTTAAAAATGGTTAATAGGGACATAACTAAATAATTACTACTTTTGGGTAATATCCCAGTTTTCAAAAGTACTCTAGGTAAACTGTTAAAATGGAAAAACTGAGTACACGTCAATGAGATCAATGCTTCTAAGTGCAATTTTTGTATAATTTAAAATCTTAAAATCATTTTGGATGCTTACTGGATGTCTGGGTCAATTCCAATTAAGAAAGGGTTATTATATAGAGAAAACTGTTCTAAAAATTGTGAAATGTTTCTCATCTATACAATACAAATATCTGATAGTTCCGGATTTCTTTTATCCTAGGTTTCTATAAAATGTGCCAAAGAAGAGGTGTCCTTATTGAGAAAAAGAATTATTTTGTCTAATTCAAAAGTTTTTTAAAAGTTGATTCAAATTATGATTTTGAAAAGGTTATTTATGAAACAAACTAGAAAGAAAGCAGTAAATGGTGAAGAGAGATGTGAAGAAAGATATAGACAAGGGCATGGATTTTTGGTAAGGAAGGTTATCAAGAAAAAAGAGCAATTTTATATGAGAAAGAATCTTGCATGGTAAATTATTCTCCTAAAGGAAAATGACTGGTTATTTAAGAAACAGGTTCTTATTACAAGGTTAATCTAGAAAAAGAAAATTGGAAAAAATTATAAAAAGGAACAGGTACCATAGTACAAGTGTACAGTCCAACCATGTGACAGATGGTCTATGTAAGTCACGACAAGGCTCATGAAGGGGAATTTATAAAAGGAATTTTGTATGTAATGAAGTTAGGTATAATTAAAGAGGAATTGTTTATAATAGTCTTTCTAAAGAATGGTCCCCTATATTAAACCAATATTTTCTTAAGGTATCAATTTGCTCTTAATAAAATGACAAGAAAGTTTGATTTTCTATTCCATAATCGATTTCTTTTGAAAACTTCTGAGATTCATATCTCAAATGTTCAATTGTTGTCTTGCTGCTATCAGCTTTTTCTCCCTTTGACGTGGCCTGGGATAACTCTATCCTTCAGCTTCCTCTCAGCTCCTGTAAATTTTCTTACTTCTAAATGTTGTGGCCTGATGCTAAAATATTTTATCTTAGAGGTCTATAAAAGCAGTGTTTTCCTCCAGGAGAACTTGATTCTAGACTCTTGGGTTGTGGTTTTTTGTTGTTGTTGTGGTTGTTGTTGTTTTTTTGGTGTGTCTAAATTCTCACTGTCATCAGGAAAGCTACCATGCAGCTACTAAGAGTCATCTATTCCCTAGTTCTACTCATAACCGTGTACACACTCTTCCCATGTTTGAATAAACTCAAACACTTTTTATTATAAGTTGTACTTCCAGATTATCTAAACGGGCTTTCCCCTAAGGAGATGCAGTCACAATAAAAAAGGTTTTCCTTTGACTTTTTGGTAACTGGCTTAAGAAACAAGATTTTACATTTTATCAAGATAGTTCCTACGTTGCCTTTATAAAGTGCTTAACTGCTTTTTAAAAACCTATGAAATTTGAAAGGAGTAAGATTTTTACACATGTGTAACTTTCTGTATTGCCTTTAAAGTCTTTCAATGATCACTTTGGTTAAATGAATAACTATTGTTTTACAAGGACCTGTAGTTTGCTTTTGATCAAGTATTTTAAGCTTTCTAACATCTTTGACAGACATCTCCAAAATTGAATTCTAAATTAAGTCTCTGACTTATTGCTGGGGCTTATCAAAGCTAAAAAAAATGAATCACTGTGAAGTGTATCACCACCTCCAACACCCTGAAAAAGTTCTTATCAGGTGCTATTAACTAATCTTTGTGGTGTTAGGGTACAAGGAATTGACTCCTGGATACATGTAGCTCCTCTAAAGAAGACAGACTCCTGCCAGCATCTAACATCTAACTCAAGTTAACCAAAGCCTCATCTTTAGACTCAAGCAAAGGCAATAATCAAAGTACACTGCTTTGATGCAACACAAGGACAGGCCTATATTATGGTTTATTCAATAATTTTGCTTCTATCTGAAATAGAAATATATGAAATATATAATTTATTTTGTGCCTTAATAATAAATAATTTAAATGTTTAGTTACCTATAGGCTTCTTTTCCTGTCACTACTGGGTTTGGTAACAAAATGGTCCAGGCTGAATACAACAGATGAGGGGCACCTTTTTCCTTAAAGCAGGATCTGTCAGTTCTGCTTACAGCACTGAAGCTCACAGACCTTGTCTACTGCCATACCTGGCAGAGCAAATGCCCATCTATTATTACATATTCCCATACAATATCAGTGTTTTTGCTCTGCTGACTGCTCATGTCACACATCTTGAACAAGTGTTCCCAATCCTCAAACGTTTTTTGACTAAGACAACAAAAATTAAAATCTAAAAAGAGCACAAGCATGAAAGCCTTTTGAGAATATTAAGATTGATGAAAAGGACAATAAATAAAAAATTGAAATACCCTTTTTACAAGCCAATGGCACAAAAACATTTTGTGACTACAGCACTCAATGTATACATTCTCTAAGTGGTATTTTTTATATCTCTGAGAACTAAAACCAAATTTAATAAGCACTCATCAAAAATAAAAAAATAATATCTAATAGAATAGGTGATCTGTACAAAGACATGTCATGTATACATTTATGGAAGTCAGATGGAAGGAATTATGGAGTCCAGCCATTGTCTAAATCTTTGTGTAAGGAGAAAGTAAGGCAACATCATGAAGTTCACACCTGCACAATTAAGAAGTGGTTGCTCCTTGTAATCAGACGGGAAGTGTTACTATACTGCTACACAAATCAATACCTTGTTAACCTTTCTCATGTACAGAAACTGAGCCATATAACGGAAAGTTTCACACATCTTTTTAAGCATAAGAATCTGAGTCAATTTTGCCTTGTGGCTTCCAGAACAGTTTCTGTCCTTCTCCTTTTCAACCAGAGATATTTCAGAGACAATTTGCAGAAAAACAAAAAACAGAGAACGTGTAACATCAGTCTTTTCTAATAAAAGTGATATTCACATTAAATTTAGGAAAGAGAAATATGAGAAAAGATTAAAATAATTAAAAGTGTTCATTGAAAAATAATTGTGAATCCATTTTTAAAACAGAGGAATAAACACCTTAAATATGCAACACAAATATTAAAATATGGTTTTAGATGATGTTTATGAGAGTAAAAAAAGAAAAATATTATACTCAGGTGTTAAACACATTTGCACAACAAATCATATCAAAATCAGGATAAATATTACAACGCAAGAAATACAGTCTTAAGGTGTCATTGGTCAGCCTTCAAAATCAGTATTGAACAAACTCAGCCTTATTCAAAACTGAATTCCTCACCTCACCAACAGAAAGGGCAGGCAGCTGCTGTCCTTGCACATGGAGACCCCATACAGTGGCTCTGAGCTCAGAGGCACCCATGTGGCTCTGACTTTGGTGGGCACGGTCTGGAGGAGAAGGAACCTGTCACAGAGTCGTCTACACCAGTGCAGGAGGTTACTATGGCTGCATCTCAAGGTTTTCAACACTACTGGCTGTTGTTGAAAGTATTTATACATAGAGTGGGGAGTGGTGTTGGGGGATTGTCTAAGATTCACAAGGATATTAAGAGACTCAAGAGCTTACAGCAACAATTTAAGTTCTAAACCAGCCAGGTGCGGTGGCTCATGCTTGTAATCCCAGCACCTCAGGAGGCTGAGGTGGGCGGATTGCTTGAACTCAGGAGCTCGAGGTCAGCCTGCGCAACAAGACGAAACCCCATCTCTACAAAAAATACAAAAAAAAATTTAACTGGGCAGAGTTGTACACCTGTGGTCCTAGCTACTTGGGAAAGTGAGGTGGGAGGACTGCTTGAGCCCAGAAGTCGAGGCTCCAGTGAGCCAAGACCTTGCCACTGCACTCCAGCCCAGGTGTAAGGGCGAGATCCTGTCTCAAAAAAAATTAACATTTAATTTTTTTTAAAAAAGTTCTAAACCTACAGCTTTATTCAAGGTACAGCTGAAAGTACTAGTGTAGGTGCAAGGCATGCAGGTTGTTACATTTTTTACTTCATTATGGAAAAGCACTGTGGTTAAAAGAAGAGGCTCTGGGCCAGGCACAGTGGCTTACACCTGCAGTCTTAGCACCCTGGGAGACAAAGCAGGGAGGATTGCTTGTGGCTAAGAGTTCTACACTAGCATGGGAAACATAGGAAGACCCGGTCTCTACCAAAAAAAAAAAAAAAATTAATTAACCAGGCATGGTGGCTTGTGCCTGTACTCCAGGCTATTCAGGAGGCTGAGAGGGGAGGATCATTTGATCCCAGTAGTTCAAACACAGAGTCTCCTCTACGATTGAGCCACTGTACCCTAGCTGGACAACAGGACAAAATCCTCTCTCTCTCTTAAAAAAGAAAAAATACAAAACAATCTTTGGAGAGAAAAGTATTGTCCTAAATAGACTCTCTTAATCATAAGACAGTGTAGGCTGAGTGTGGTGACTCACACTTGTAATCCCAGCACTTTGGGAGGCCGAGGTGGGCAGATCACCTGAGGTCAGGAGTTCAAGACCAGCCTAGCCAATATGGTGAAACTCCATCTCTACTAAAAATACAAAAGAATTAGCCAGGTGTGGTGCCGCATACCTATAATCCCAGTTACTCGAGAGGCTGAGGCACAAGAATCGCTTGAACCCAGGAGGCGGAGGTTGCCGTGATCCATGATTGCGTCATAGCACTCCAGCCTGGGTGACAGAGTGAGACTCTGTATCAAAAAAAAAAAAAGAAAAAAGATAATAATAAGACTGTGAAATTTGCACAAAGATAGAAGAAACAACCAGTACCTTAAAAAATAAAAACAGAGCTAGAAAGCAGACATATACATATATAAAAATTAATTTATACATTGATGCATGGGGGAGAGATCAGTTTTTAATAAAATGTTCCAGGAAATTGAATATTCACAGGGAACAACCAAGATACGACCTTTGATCTCACATACACACAAAATCAATTCTAGTTGGTTCATAGGCTTAAATATAAAAATAATAGAGTATTCAGAACACAATTTAGGAAAATATCTTCATGTCACAGGGTAGGGTGAGCTGTCTAACTAGACCTGAAAATTATTTAGCATGTCAGACAAGACACATTCTACATAGTCGAAGTGAGCAAAGACTGGGGCAGACAGTATCAAACTCAAGGGTCCTTTATACCTTTCCCGCAGAAAGTCAGCTCAGACTCCAAAATGGAGCACAGGAGTGAAAATCGTGCTCACTTCTTGAGACGTCAGTGTGCACTGTAGGAAATGATAACATAGAAAGCATGCAGTATATTATCAAGCCTATACAAACCCCTAAAAATTAATTTTCTAATAAATTGTGAGATATATCCTTCGTGTCAATTGTAACAAGTCATTACTTCATACACCAGAATGGAAGAACAAAACCACTAACGAAGAAACTAATACTTTTGTCACTTATAAATAAATCACATAGTAATAATATAAATACATTATAATTACTGGAAAAACTATTTTCAATGTGCATACATGTGGATATTTGTCTTGTGTCATTCCTATGATTACATGGGATGGAACAAACAAGAAAAACACATTGAAAAGGTTTTCCTAAATTTTCTCTCATTCAGATGTAACGCTCCTGAATCACTCGTCAATTCATCTTGCCCATAATTTTCCCCATATTATTATGACCTGTGCTAATCTGAAGCTTGGTGATGCTGCACTTCTTGTGAGATTCCTAAGTTGCTCCTGTGAGCTTATCTTTACAACCTTCTGAAACGCCTTATGCAAGATATGATGTTAATGATATGACCTGAAAATATCAATGGAAGGTTGATAGACCAAGCTCATGTATATGTAAATGAGGACAATAACATTATGGTTGCCTTCTCGTCAATAGTGTTTTACACTGTCAAATTTAAGGTGCACCTGTGTTTCATAAACGTGAAAATGTGCCCTCTACGATGAGTGGAATACACTGTCCTCTGTGACTGCCAATTTCTCAGTGTTAGATTAAGGGGGCTCATCAACTGTATTCTTACCTGTTATCGAAGGAATATGCTTAAATATTATCACATAAGTTCACCAAGTGCATTTACAGTCTACGTAGCTATTAGACACATTAGATTTACTAGTGGAACACTAGAATTCTTATGTTATGCATGGAAATGTAGTTTTATGAACTGTGGTTTAAGAAATCCCTGAGGAAGAAGATGGCAATTATAAAGAGTTACTTGAAAAATTCACTGGAGTGATACCTTTCTAAAGACCTAGAAAAAGCTGTATCTTGAAACTTTCCACTGCAGTCTTAAAATATGACCAATGATCCTTGTAAGCTTCATTATAAACTCCATTTTTTCAGCTATAATATTTATGTAACTCTTTTTTCTTCATTCCCATTTGCCGTTTTAACCATATGGCTGGAGATCATAGAAATCACTTTATAATTAGTCACTGCAGACGTAGATGCATAATGGTCTTTATAAAATGTTTTAATCCATCCCCTTGCTACTCTGGTCAACCCTAATTTGAGTACTTGGATTTGGGGAGTGGTTTTGGTGTTCCCTCAGGAATACACTGATAGAAGAAGAAACACATAAAGTATGAATTTCTGTATACCCAAAATTCAGTCAACCTCCTAAACGATGGGAGTTTCTTTATGTGTATGCAGAAACTCACATACAAAAACAAAAACTCACAGAATTTAGGAGGTTGACTGAATTTTCCCCTAGTTTTAAATTCCAGCAAGGCTAAATTAAATACATAAAGTCATGTTCTCAAATATCCAAGACATTCTTCCACTGAACTCCAACTTCTAATCAGGTTAGAGTGTGGAGTCCCAGTGTTGGGTGTTTGCCTTATGATCTGGTCTAGAATTTGGTTTCTTTTAAATGGCATCTCTTTTAGAATTGTGGTGTCCAGGCCAGCCTCTAAGGAACTGTTGGTTTAAGGTATTGTGGGAAATCACAATTTCCATGCAGTTAGAGTGTGTCTGGGGACTCGCTGCTCAGCACTTTGTCTTCTGCTTTCTCCACTCACTAGCATCCAACTGCAAAAAACCTGTTGTGTAAAAGATTCATATCCAGGTCTCTGTAAGTAGGGTCTGGCCTAAACCCATTTGTAAGAAACGTTTGTTGTACTCTGCTTACCTGCTACCTTGGTGGCTTTCGGGTTGGCAGTGGGCAACAGAATGCATGGTCTCAAACAATTCCTGATGGAGTCTGTAGAATGAAAAGAACTAAATTAGGACATATTTTTCTGAAAGGTTTGAAGGTACAGTTGTCTTTTGATTACTTGAAGAAGAAATCCCTGTACCAAGAAAACACTATCCTGAACGCAGAAATATGATTTATGTTCCCTGTGACTGAAATTTCCAATTCTTGGCTTCTAATCTGAGTCATATCTCCCAAAAATGCTTCAATGGGATCCTGAATATACACTGCTCAGTGATGTCTGCACATGGGGCTTTCTGGATATGTGAAGGAAAGGCAGCTTTTTCTGAACAAGTGGTTGCTGACATTCCAACTGGTGACTGGGTAACGGAGAAGGAGACAAAGGATGACAGTCTGTAAAGCTTGATGGTGCCTTCCCGAAGCAGGTGTACCTGGGTTTGGAAAGGCGACTAGATAAAAAATGCTTGTTTTCTATTCTCTCTCTATGTGCCCATTCATCTCTGGAAGCCAAAGATTTTTGCTTATGTCTTTGTTTTCTTTTTATAGATATAATAATTTTAGAAAACAAATTTATTTTGAAATAATGGCAGATTTACAAAAAGACACACAGGTAGAACAGACAGCTAACTAAAATGTTACTATTACAACTATAGTATATTCATGAAAACTAAGAATTTCACTATGTTTCAAAACTATTAACTGATCTACAGATTTCCTTCATATTTTACCAGAATTTCTAATAATGATATGTTTATGTGTTCCAAGACCTAATCTAGAATACCACATTGCAATTACTGTCAGGTATATTACTTAAGACTTGGTGCATAACAGACTACTATACATCTTAGTGGTTCAAAACCACACACATATTACTCACAGTTTCTCTGGGTCTTCAGTCCAGATGTAGGTGATGGCCCAGGCTAAGGCTCAGCTGCGGAAGGGTCTCCTTCCAAGCTCATGTAACTATTCTTAGGATTAACCTCTCTGACCTCATCAAGAAGAATTCTTCAGTGAATTATTATAATCATTTAAAAAAATTAGTACTAATTTATTACAAATTATTCCAAAAAAGTGGAGAAAACATGATTTCCCATTGTATACTGAGTTAGTTTACCCTGATACTGCAGCCAGACAAAGACACTTCAAATAGGGAAAATGAAGAACAATATACCTTATGAATACAGGGACAAAAAACATCAAGGAAATATTAGTAAAACAAAGCAGAAACATGTAAAAAGTATTGTATGCTATATCAAGGGTATTTACCTCAGGAAAGCAAAATTTGGTTCAACATACAACTAGTGCTATGCACTGTATTCATATAATAAAGAACAAAAACCACATAATCATCTCAGAAGATGCATAGGCGCTTGAGAATTTTCCAACTCCTTATGAGAAAAATATGCAGCAAATGATGCAGATAAGGGAACTGTCTCCCTTTTAAAGGGGATCCATGAAAAACTAACGTATCATCATAAGTTATCTGAAACGTTCTCTAATTTCTCCAAGATTAGAAACAAGACACGGATTTCCACTCTTGACACTTGTTTTCAACATTGTACTAGAGGATACAGACATGGCAGTTAGTCTAGAAAAATAAATATAACGCTTCCAGGATGGAAAGGAAGTCAAACTCTGTCTGTTGGCATATGACATGATCTTATGTATAAAATTTCAAAAGGACTCTAATCAAATATGTTGAGAATTTAGAAATGAGTTCAACAAACTTGCAGTATACAAGGTGAAGATATAAAATCCTCTGAATTTCTATATGCTAGCAATTAATAATCTAAAACAAAAAACTCAGAATGTTCCATTTGAGATGACATCAAAAATAAGTTTATCAAATTAAGTATAAGATATATACACAAAAACTATAGAAAACATTTTGAAAAAAACGGAAAAAGCTATGACTATTCATTGCTTATAAAGGTTAATGTTGTTAGGCTGGCAATATTCTCCAAATGGATCTATAGATTTAATGCAACCTCTATCAAAATCCCAGGTGACACTCCCTTCCTCTAAATTCACAAAGCTTATCGAAAGTTCATATATAATGCCATAGACCCAGAGTAGCCTAAATTATTTTCAGAAAGGAGAAAAAAAGGTTGGCCTGGGAGATACATACTTCCTGACTTCAAAACTCACTGCAAAGTAATAGTAATCAAGATTTATGGTACTGGTATAAGAATATAGATGTTGATCAATGTAATAGAATATAACGCTCAAAAAAGAATACATACATTTATAGTGAAATAATTTTATAATGTCACCAAATAAATTATATATGGATAAATATTTCTAATAAAATATTTCTAAGCAAGTGCATATTCCATGCAAGTCGAACTCCTGCCTCACACTGAAAATGTAAGTGACTCAAAAGGATCATATATCTATATATAATAGCTAAACAGTCCCAAAAAGTAGAAAATAACACAGGAATACATCTTCGTGGTCTTAGGTTAAACAATCTTTTCTAAGATATGATGCCGAAAGCAAAAGGGAAGAAGAAAAATCAGGCATATTAAACCTCATTAGAATGTGAAACTTTTGTGATTCACACTGCACCAACAAAAATAAAGACATCCAAAGAATGGGAGCATATATTTGCAAACAAAAGCAAAAATTGGCAAATGAAACCTAATTAAACTTAAGGGCTTCTGCACAGCAAAAGAAAACTATCTACAGAATGGGAGAAAAGTTTTGCAACCTATGCATATGACCAAAGTCTAATATGCAGCATCTATAAGGAACTTAAACAAATGTTCAAGAAAAAAAAACCAACTCCATAAAAAAAGAGGGCAAAGGACACGAACAGACACTTTCAACAGAAGATATATATATATGTGGCTAACAATCATATGAAGAAAAGCTCAACCTCACCGATCCTGAAAGAAATGCAATTAAAAATCACAATGTGATACCATCTAACACCAGTCAGAATGGCTATTATTAAATAGTCAAGAAATAGATACTGGCAAGGTTGTGGAACAAAGGCATTACTTACACACCGTCGGTGGACGTCTAAATTAGTTCAACCATTGTGGAAGGCAGTGTGGAGACTACAAGAAGACCTAAAAACAGAAATATCATTTAACCCAGCAATCCCATTACTGAGCATATACCCAAAGAAATAAAAAGTGTCCTGTGAAGAAGACACACGCATGCATAGGTTCATTGCAGCACTATTCACAATAGCAAGAATGTGGAATCAACCTAAATGCCCATCAATGGTCACTGCATAAAGAAAATGTGGAACATACACACCATGGAATACTATGCAGCCATAAAAAGTATCATGTCTTTAACACGAAAACGGATGGCACTGGAGGCTATTATCCTTAGCAAACTAATGCAGGAACAGAAAACCAAATACCATGTTTTTTCCCTTATAAGTGGGAGGTAAATGACAAGAACACATAAACACACAGTGGGGAACAACACACACTGAGGTTTATCAGAGGGTGGGAGGTGAGACAGGATTAGAAAAGATAACTAATGGGTACTAGGCTTTAGTACATTGGTGATGAAATAATCTACAACAAACCACCATAACACAAGTTTACCTATGTAACGAATGTGCACGTGTACCCTGAAACTTAAGTTAAATTAAAAAGCAAGTATTTGCAAGTTTTATAGGTGATAACGGTCTATTGCTAATAATATACAGCAACATCTTAAGAGCTCAAAAATAAAAAGGCATATATCTCAATCAAAAATGGAAATTATTCAAATACCCAATTCTCCATAAAAGCTACAGGCACATCCGAATCACACGAAGAGACACTCAATGCCTTCTGCCATTATGAGGCAGGAGACCGGCAAGTTGTCTTCTAGTCACAATCCTGCTGATCATAATGAGATATGGTCCAGACAGCATCTAGTAAAGAAACTGGCAAAAGAAGACAAAGGGATCCCTGGTTGTCCTCACTGCTCACCGGCATGAGAAATTCCCTCCAGCGCATGACTGTTTACAAATTCCAGGCCAACAACCAGGAATTTACCACCTCTTTCCATGGCAACAACCCAGAAGTTACTGCTCCTGTCCTGGAAAGTTCTGAATCACCTGCCATTAAGTTTCATTGGTTCACCCCTCAACTTCCATGTAATTGAAAGTATTTTACCTTAGTGTAAAGATAGTTGATAAGAGCCCATAGGTTACCAACTGATGCAACGCCTATGAGTTAGCCCTGCTGTTAAAGGAGCAGTACTGTTCAATAAAAGGCTGCCATCTATCACCACTGGCTTGCCCTTAAATACTTTCCTGGGCAAAGCCAAGAACCCTGCCAGTTGAAGCCCCAAATTTGGGGCTCATCTGTCCTGCAACAATAGGGGATGGGGAGTCTAAAAAACACGACATATACTTCAAAAATCTAAAAGGTATATTGCTATGTGAAAAAATACAAGTTGGAAAAGGCAAAATACTGTGTAATTCTACCTATATGACTCTCTAGAAAAGGAAAAAAGTATAGTGATAGCAAAGAGTCTGGTGGTAACAGGGGGCTTGGGAGAGAGAAAGGTGGAATAAGGGAAATACAGGAGGTTTCTTCGGGGCAGTGATATTACTCTCTCTGATACTGTATTGGTGGATACATAATAATGTTTTCTGAATTTTGAAGAACTTTATAACACAAAGAGAGTACTAAATTATGCAAACATAAAACCTTATTTAGTAGGTAGAGGGTTTCCAAGGAGGAATGTCCCCAAAAATAATATAACAACGTAATGAATGTATGGAATAACCTCACTAAAGAAAGTGGCGGAAAGCAATGGACCTAAGTAACTTGGGTAATAAGTGGACATGCCAAGGCTAAAAGCCAAAGTATTTATACCTAAGTGCTGTACTTTACTTGGTAAAATTGTTTCCCATTGGGGTATAAGTTACCTGTTCTGAAACCACTGTGCATGTATGTTCAGGCAGTATGATTAAGAGACCAGCATCAACTTCTTCACAGGGAGAGTAAGAGACTACATACATCATTCATGTGGTGCTGGATTAGATCATATGGTATTGGAAACATTAGCAGAAATTACACAATTATATAGTTAGCCTGGAGTACAATTAAATATAGAGTTGCCTGGAGCACCTAGTAGTGGTTAAAGAAAATGCTGAACAACAAAACCAACCAACCATAAAACACTCAACCTTAATTATGTGGGTATTTCAAAATTATAACAGGGACAACTAGAAAACCTTCCAATACCCCACCGTGCAACAATTTGAACAATCAAATAAATTAGCATATGTAAAGTATAAAATTAATATCCATGTTTAGATGATGATATAAATAATTTATGTATAAATGAATAAATATGTAATAGAATAGACACATGTTTATGGTTGAGGGTTCAAATAAATTTGTAGACATTCTGCCAATAAGAAGGTAGATCATACATCCCCACATTTTTCTTAGTTTGAGATAGAGTATGGAGTCCCGCTCTGTTGCCCAGGCTGGAGTGCAGTGGCATGATCTCAGCTCACCTCAACCTCTGCCTTCCAGGTTCAAGTGATTCTCCTGCCTCAGCCTCCGGAGTAGCTGGGAGTACAGGCACGTGCACTGTGCCTAGCTAATTTTTGTATTTTTAGAGGTTTCGCCATGTTAGCCACGCTGGTCTCGAACTCCTGACCTCAGGTGATCCACCTGCCTCAGCCTCCCACAGTGCTGGGATTACAGGCATGAGCCATCGTGCTTGGCCCATGACTCCCCACTTCTTAAATGTGTGTTGTGTTAGTGACTTTGTTCTGAAACATTCCATGGGGAAAAGGAAAAATAATAATAATTTCACAGTGTGTGATAATTTCATAAAAATGACTTCATCTAGGTGATCAAATTAACATTAATAATGATAAAGTCTGTTGAGAGCCTGTGTCCTTGGTATGATGTGAGGAGAATGGCACCTTTCCTCTGTCATCTTCCTCTCCCAAACCCACAAATCTAGTCTTGTCATGAAAAAAACCTCAGAGAAATCCCACATTAGGAATGTCAATGTAATCAAAAACTAGAAAATTCTAAGAAACTGTGACAGTCAGAGAAGTCTAAGGAGACATGATACCCAACCGTGCTGAGGTATCCTGGGTGAGATCCTGGAACAGAAATTAAAAATTAAGTGAAACATAAGAAAATCTGAATCAAGTATGAAGAGTAGTTAATGATAATGTTTAAAATTGGTTAATTCTGACAAATGTCCTACATTAAGAAGTTAATAAAAAGAACAACTGTAGTGGGATATATGGAAAATCTATATACTACATTTAAAACAATTCTGTAAACCCCAAACGATTCTTAAATGTATAAGGCTTCTTTTTATTTAAAGTCACTGCTGACCTTATAAAATAGAACATGAGCAATGTGTTCATGGCCGTTAATGGATCTCCTTAGCTTAATCATGTTCCTTAATCACTTAAGGTCGCTATGACTGTGAAATTTTTTGCTACCCTCTAATTTGTGTTTGTTATATTTATCTCTGTTTATATTTCTAACATCCATAATGTTTAGTTCTTCTTGTCTGCAAACTTAGATGACAGGTGTTTAATGTATACATGTCCCTAGTTTAATCATGACAAATCATGAGACAAATCCATATTGTGGGACATCTTACAAAATACAAAATATCTGACCTGTACATTTGAAAAGGGTCAAGGTCAAGAAAAATAAGTGGAGACTATGAAACTTGCAGATTGGAGAAGACCGAATGTGTCAGTTAGACCCTACAACGGTGCCCAGTGATCCCCACCTGCAAGAAATACCTTTGCTTTGTTGAGTTGCTTCCTCATGTCTCATGTGACCAGCACATGTGAACTCAACTTTTTGCCAACTCGGAGCTCTCCTAGACAGTGGCTACCTTGGTGGGAATGGAGTGGACCCAGGTCTGACAAGTGCCACAAGGGTGTCTGACAGTGTAAACAAATATCCTGTGAGAAGGATGCTGCGTCAAAGACTTATGCTTCGGGGTATCCAACAGGATAAATAAGTATCCCATTGAGAGGCACACTGTAAACATCCAGGACCCAGTTTCCAGCAGAGTGCTGCTCTCTGAAGACCGAAAATTCGGTTTTCTTGAGACTTTTTGCCTTAATCTTAGAAATATAAGCAGAGATTATTCTAAGTTGCTTTCCAAATCTGATTCTTCATCCAGATCAACAACATACTTATCTCTTTCTCCCTCCCCTTTTATCCTTCATATCCCATGAATGAGGATCACGTGAATCTCACTGTAAGCAGGGAATGGAGATGCACGTGCATTGCAGTTTTCATGGAATGCTTTGCTCTGATCACTTGTTACTCTTGTCAGCTCCACTTGTTGATACTTAGAAAATGAAACAGGTTTTGGCTTTCCCCAAAGAGTGCACTGAATGAACAAGAAACTCACATAGCGTATAATTTAGAATATGTTGAGCATATTGGCACTGAGAGTTTCAGCTTCTACTAGGGCTCAATTGAGTGAACAGGAAGCCCTAATCTCCAGTAGAGGAATCATACACCCTTTATTCAGACTAGAGGGCGGAGACAGCGTTGGGTTCTTGCCTAAGGACATGGTAAGATGATGGGGTGTTTTCAGTGGCATCTTTCTGAGAATTCTGGTGGCCAATCCAGACTCAATACAAATCATATTTTCCACACTATCATAGTAATGTTTGCGAGCTTAGTGCTCAGCACAGTGTCCTCTGTGCCTGGGACATCATGTAGCAGAGTTTCAAGTCTATCACTTTTCCAGTCTTAACCCTGAGCACTCAGAGCTCATCGACCCTCTTGCCACCTAGAGATGAGTCTGTCCTTCTACAATCTACTTCTCTCTCCTTCCTGGCCT